CAGCACTTTCAGGACAAGAGCTCGGCGCTGCTGGAGAGGCACCCGGATGAGATATGGATGTGGAATGCGGTCTGGGCTCAATGTCGAGACATCAGACAGCGGCTCACCGAGATACTGCAGGCCTCTTATAGTAATCAAGCGCCTCTGGGATCGCCACAAAAGGACAGCGCGGCGGCCCGCTTGAAAGGGCCGACCCCGAGCGTAATTACAACTAGCCTTGGAGAAAATGAACAAACAAACCCTGCTGGCGGTCGTACTGAGACTCGAAATAGTCTTGTTGGACAAGGTGATAATGAGACAGTGACGCATTTCCACCTTCACTGTGAGCCTGTGACGAGAGAAACATCACCGTCTTCAAACTCTGACCCGATAATGACCCAAAACACGCAGAAGGAACTGAATCTTCAACAGCCAAAAGAGGAAGGAAGAGGTCAACACTTCCACCAAAGCAGAAGCAAAGTTTTCACATCACACAATGGACCGACGATGCAATTAAGGACGTGTCTTCGCATATACTCTCACAGCGACAGTGATCTGAGAAAGCCAGGCCGGGTCACTGAGGTCAACCACTCGCCACATTATACAGCCCTGGTCCGCTCTCGAAGCGAAGGCTCTTGTCTGCCAATCACCAACTATCATGTTTCTGTTTGCAAAACTGCAGTCAAGCACAAAGTCCAGATGTGTGCAGCTTCCGGTCAAGAGAGCGACTCAAGCAGAGCATCATGGGATGGACAGAGCTCTAAACTGTCTCACCAGGACAGCTTCTGTTCCAGCGCTTCTGGACTGAGCCAAAGCGACGTCAATGAGAAGTTCAGCAGTGACACCAAATCTGACGAGCAGAGCTTGATTTCACCAGCGACACGCTCAGATCTTCCAGTCCAAATGCAGGACGAGCGCATGCTGGATCACAGCAGCACTGTACTGTGAGTCGCTGTTTTAATGAGACGGATGAAGAATCGTAAAGTGAAGATACAGAGCTAGACACGTTCATCTATTAATAATCAGATCTTTTAGTTTGCACACATCACGTTCCAAATTAAAGGGAAATTTTTATCCAAAATGTATAGTTTCCATTTCAAAATATAGCAATAATAGCAAATCATTATTTTATGTAGTATTAATATTATTAAAATAAAACAATTGTATTATTATAATAAAATATTATTTAATCAAATTGTTTTAAAATATCCAACATTTGTTTTCCATTGTAAATTGAAAATAAAATAATCATTACCACATGATTATTTAATGTAGTTTACAATTTGTTCAAATAAAATAGCTTTAATTTTATGATAAAACAATATTTAATTCAATATTTTTAATTAAACATTATCCAAAAATATAGTTTTCATTCCAAATTAAACCATCATTACCACATGATTATTTAGTAGTTTTAATATTAATAAAATGAAATGATTATAATGTTACATTATAATTGTTATATTATAATAAAAATATGTTTAATTCCATTTTAAGTTTCCATTATGAATTCAGGTTGAAATATTACGATAAAACAATATTTATTAAAATAGTTTTATTATAATATTATTTCCATCACAAAACTATATATGTGATGTATACCATTACCGTAATGACATACATAATGACAAAATCATACTCGCCCACCTCGTTTATTGCATAAAAAACATGTACATGCTTTATTACATTAGTTCCGCTTTTCACTAAAAACATATTTTAGTATATTAGACATATGCTTCTGGGTAAATGTGATGATTCCTTTATGTTAAGTCATATTTGAGGGCAGGAAAGTAACATGTCTTAAACTGAATTATACAAATGTGCCCTGCCAGTAAAATGTGAAATGTTTACCATTGATCTGTTTGTCTGCTATGCCTTAGTAATTGTTCATAATCGTTGCGGGATGCATTATGTTTTTGTTGGTCTCCTGACAGTAAACTCCAGTGCATCATGGAGGAGCTGCTTCAGAC